TTCTTTCATTTTCCTTGTTGGCTTGGGAGTGTAACGGCATCCCTCGTTCCCAAACACATAGTGTGTATATGTCATGTAGAAGATACGTCAATGGGTTGTGTGTTTTTCTTTGTCAATCAATATTGTTTTTCGTCTCTATTAGGATATGTATAATTTCATACGCTTTATGTCTGAAGTCATTTATACAATCATTCCAAGTTAACTCGATTCCGCACTCATCTGTCTAATTCATCCCACAAGTGTTCGATTTGGGACAAAGTAAGGCTATATAGAGGCCAATCAATAGGTACGATGTTCTACGATATTCTAGGCTACAGGGAAGTTCCTGAAACTCCAGCAACATGTGACCTAGCGTGATCATGCTGAAAGTCAAATGATGCTTATACCGAAAGGCACAGCATGGTGCCTCGGGATCTCATCTTGCAATAGCGTACAGCGGTTAAATTCCCGTTTATTATCACTAAAGGTGTCTACAAGCCACGGGAAATCACACCAAACCATAAACAATCCTACTCCACGCCTGTTCTGCTCTTTAACACAGGCGTTTACAAGACGCTCTCCTCGACGCCCGTTCACGTGTTGACGGTTTTTTTTCTGATCGAAATATCGCGAATTGAGATTTATCCGTGAAGTCTCAGGCAAACGTCTGGACACGTGCCACCAATCATCGCATACGACGTATAAAATATCTGTATGAAACCTATGGTATCACTAGGTTGACTATTTTGTTATGTGCATACATATAATATAAGATATGTCACAAACATCAACTATAATTACTGAAATTAGGGACAAATAACACACATCTAATATAATTACTGAAATTAGGGACAAATTACACATATCTAATATAATTACTGAAATTAGGGACAAATAACACATATCTAATTAGGGACAAATTACATCTAATATTATTACTGAATTGAGATATATTACACACATCACATATGATTACTGAAATCAATTAATTTATTGATAGTAAAAGTACATGCAAGGATATGTTAACCATATGTATATGTCACAGTTTTTTTAAACGTTGTAATACTCATATGTTATTCACATGAACAGATCATTAGAATTATGGATTTATTGGTTTTGATCCAGATCTGCGTCAATAAAATGCATAATTCGTCCGTCTCACCTTTGTGTAATTAATGAGGAAATAGTTTCTAGTCCTGAAGTCTGTCTCACCTTTGTGTAATGGACGATGAAATTGTTTCTAGGTCTGTAGTCTGTCTCACCTTTGTGTAATGGACGATGAAATTGTTTCTAGGTCTGTAGTCTGTCTCACCTTTGTGTAATGGACGATGAAATAGTTTCTGGTCCTGTAGTCTGTCTCACCTTTGTGTAATGGACGATGAAATTGTTTGTAGTCCTGAAGTCTATCTCACCTTTGTGTAATGGACGATGAAATAGTTTCTGGTCCTGATGTCTATCTCACCTTTGTGTAATGGACGATGAAATAGTTTCTGGTCCTGTAGTCTGTCTCACCTTTGTGTAATGGACGATGAAATAGTTTCTGGTCCTGTAGTCTGTCTCACCTTTGTGTAATGGACGATGAAATTGTTTGTAGTCCTGAAGTCTATCTCACCTTTGTGTAATGGACGATGAAATTGTTTTTAGTCCTGTAGTCTGTCTCACCTTTGTGTAATGGACGATGAAATTGTTTTTAGTCCTGTAGTCTGTCTCACCTTTGTGTAATGGACGATGAAATTGTTTCTAGGTCTGTAGTCTGTCTCATCTTTGTGTAATGGACGATGAAATTGTTTCTAGGTCTGTAGTCTGTCTCACCTTTGTGTAATGGACGATGAAATAGTTTCTGGTCCTGATGTCCGTCTCACCTTTGTGTAATGGACGATGAAATTGTTTGTAGTCCTGAAGTCTGTCTTACCTTTGTGTAATGGACGATGAAATTGTTTGTAGTCCTGTAGTCTGTCTCACCTTTGTGTAATGGACGATGAAATTGTTTCTAGGTCTGTAGTCTGTCTCACTTTTGTGTAATGGACGATAAAATTGTTTCTAGTCCTGTAGTCTGTCTCACCTTTGTGTAATGGACGATGAAATTGTTTGTAGTCCTGAAGTCTGTCTTACCTTTGTGTAATGGACGATGAAATTGTTTGTAGTTCTGAAGTCTGTCTCACTTTTGCTTACTCGATGGTGAATTGAATACTGAATCACTTTGCCGACTCGTTGTGTTTGCCAGTAATCCTCGCCTTTTATTTTATATCTGTTGTGAGTGTGATCAACACATATTTAAATATCAAATCCGTGCCTTCCTTTATCCTTCCTCGTGTTGTTGTATATGTATTGTTCAACGACTAATAATTTAAATGAAAGCATTGTTTTTTTAATTACACCAATTGTGGAAATAAGAAGTAGAATTAGTAAGGAACTCTTTGTTGATTCTAAAATCTACAGAATTACACGTGTGGCTTAAAATGTTTCTATCAAAGTATAACAAATGTACAATTGTAACCCAATTTGATTTAATCACTCGATGATTTAACTGTATGCCAAATTTGATTCATCAAAGCTTCCCACGACTTCTTGACGTTGAATGTAAATGCCAACAGAAGTCATACATGCTGTAAACCCACTTGATCAACAATACTATTTGATATATGGCATTTCTTTATTTGCATTTCAACTTCTTTAAGAGCATGACATCTACTTCCGTGGAAACGTTTGTTTCTCTTTGTGAAAAATACAAACAGGACATGTTCTGCAGCTCATTGGTTTACTTGCTGCTGTCAATTTCGATTATGAAGTCACAATGATAATGACTGAATATAAAGTGTAGGGTATAAGTGTCAATATGAATCCTCTTTCCATTCAAAACATCGATATATCGATACTGGATTGAACGTTATCCTTTGATAAACCAGCAGGGAAAAAGTAGATATTATTTTTTTATTCATTTGTTTATCTTTAAAAGCATATACATGTATGTATATATATGAAATCTTAAATAAGAAATTGTTTAAGCTAAAGTCACCGTTAATACAAGATTTCCACGTCGTTGACATTTAAAATCAAATTGTGTTGCCTTTTGAACACATGTAATGAGTACGCAAGCACTGATGTCGCTAAATGGTGACGTCTACACTGTTACAAACTCCGTATATTTACGTAAACAGGTGACCTTGCTTGTCATTTATCAGGGATCGTTCTTTTGTGAGCATCTATAAGCAGGTTTTAAAACAAACCATAGCTCTGGTTGTGTAACTAGCAGACGCAGAAACACTCTGTCGTTGTGTAGGTCCATATTTCTATCACAAACCTGTACAGTTAGTTATTGTCTGGTACTATACTAGAATCCCGTCTTTCGTGAAAAATTGTTCAAATAGGACAAAGACATTAGCACAAAAACACATAACGTTTAGAATAAGGCTCACATTTGAACCAGGGAACATCATCAATTTCCCAATTGTGAATTTTCCATTTCTGGATAGAAACAATCATGTATCCCCAATCTAGTTGATTCGATATTCAAGGGCCTGTTCTCTATATCACGACTTATGTGCAAGATGTTAACTGACAGACAAACACAACACAGGGTTTCTGGGGCTGCAGGTTGATTTAAGGTATAGGAAAGGTTTTACTGTCGTCATAGTGATCTCACTGAGAAATATTCTATCTCTTTGTGAGACATGAAGATGAAGCAGGACGTATTTAGTGCTCCGTACCTTGCCTGTTGATTTTGTGTTGAGTCTCCATGTAAATCGTTCTTTTGTTTATAGTTTGCCCCAGTTTTATCTAATTTGATTTTGGACTATGTCACATGTTGGAATTTTCTTGTTGATTTAGTTTCTATAGGCTCCGTATCCGTTTTGTAATATTGGATCTCAAGATATAAATCTACTCTGAAAGTATTCTTCATCCACTTTCACATACTGCTTTTTCCATTCTACTCTAAAGCCTGGAGGTTCGTTATAGTGGACATTAAACCCGTTCAATCAACCTTATCCCAAACCGATGTCCTCCTTTAGATATTTTTGTAAATTATATTACTATTGTTGCCAAACTAGATTTTCCTGAATGTCAGCTGATTGATGTCTAGATATTACAAATGATTAATGGATATCACTGAGGAGAGCTAGGTTGTTATTACAGCTTGTTAGTGTCTCAGTATTCGGATTTATGTTATCAGCGGATGTTAAGAAATGTCTGTAGCAACTTAGTGGTACAGTGGATAATGCTAAGTGTTGGTGAGATTAACAGATATTACTAGTACACGTGTTATGCAAACGACAAGTAAGTGAATAAATACATTGAGACATTAGAACAAATATTAAGTATAGTCAGGCGCGTAGCTGCCTATACGCGAGTACGCAGCTGAATCCACATTATTTTGACAAAAAAATTTTTTTAGTAAAAAAAATGTGGTTTAAAATTCAGCCGCGTTCGCCAGATCTGATAATTACCACACTGAATACTTTATAAATCATATAGCCTAAATCGTACACCATACCGTAGTATCTTTTTGAAAAGTTGTCGGCCTTTGCAGCTCTTCAAAGTCGGAAGTTTGCACGCGCCGTATTTTCGAAATGTAAACAAATGTTTACATCGAGTTCTTAAAGAAGTCATCAGCAGAATCAGCGATAGAAAAGAGGTAATTATAACTAAAATGTTACTATGTATGCCTAGTGTTTATTTGTTTCGGTCTGTTTGTTGAGTAATGACATGTTTGACCATGTCTGTGAACCGATTCTAGCGAGACTGACAACATTTTGAACTAACCAACCTGAATCAGTGAATTCATGATGCAAATGTGAAAAATTCTGGTGCATTTGTCGTATTACTCTGCATTTTTGAAATAGTTCCTTCTTGGTAGATTAGTTATATTGATACATGGAATTTTTATGAAAAAAAACATTTCTGGTAAACACAACGCTCGTCATTTTTTTCATCTACGGAAGCGCATAAAGGTAAAAGTATTCCGATCTCATACATGTACGGAGCCACAATTTATTCTTCCAGGTTCTAATTACGCAAGAAATATGGCACAGAAGAGAATTGACAGCTTCTTCAGCGTAGGTCCAAAAACTGGGCTGTCTGAAAAAGGCACCGATGCAACCGAGCCTAGTACATGTATGTTTACTTTAACATGCTTTTAACATAAAAAGCTACAAACAATAGTCAGTACATGTTAAGTTATACATGTATAGTTAATAATGACAACAATTGTAACTTTTAATTTTGTTTAAACTTTTCAAGATTCAAGGACAGTATGATTTCAAACTTTTACATTACATTCATTGCAATCCATGCTTTAAATATTCGAAATCAAATTGATTCTATAGTCAATTTTATGCACCAAAAATTCTAACACTTGTCCAAGTATCGTCATATGTATTCCATATGTATATTTATAGCGCCCGGTACGTCTGGTGTGAAGGAGGGTCCTGAACCTATGACTTTAGATAAAGATGAGCTCGTGGGGATTGCGTACAGTCCCGATGACTTGTATCCTGATCCAGCAAGGTTAACAAAGGCTTCAGATGACTCGATAAATGTGAAAGTGCTGAAAACAACAAAGAATGGGCCAAAAGAATGGGCCAAAGTTTCCGTCAAGGTAAACTGATTCTGATTCATTTGATTTAAAGATGTGAAGTTATAACGGTTGCAGATCAATAGAAAATTGTAGTTTAGTCAACCAGTATTGTATAGAAAAATACCGTTAAAATCTCTAAACACAGTCCCGAGGTCTCAAAATCGATGGTTTATGTTGAGGTCTTTTTGTGAGTGGTACATGTGGGAAAATAGACGCAAGCCCGTCTCTTACCACTCGAATGTAAACGGTCTGCTTCTTCCACTTGTTCGATGTTTGGTTTCATTATAATTATATTAGCGCGCTATGACATGTTTACTATATAATTAAGACGAATAAAGTATAGTGAATATACTCATATATCTGATAACGTTATTGAAGTACCAGTATCATAAGTATACTAGTAAGATACTAGATATATACTATTAAAATGGAATCATTTGCTTCCCTGCTTTCCGGATTTCTATGTATTTGGTTGCAAAATTGTTCCATTTCAAGTTCGTACACTATTTCTTTATTTTATTATTTCAGTATTGAGTATGGAACGAAGCGTCAGTTCTCGGTAGATTGGCTAGAGAAGTATGACTGGCTTCGATATTCAGTTTCCGAGAATTCAGTGTATTGTGCTCCCTGTATTTTGTTTGGTGCTTCATCTCCAAAGGAGAAAACATTCATCAATACCCCAGTATCAAAATGGTCTAACCTTGGAAAGTACATCAAGAGACATACCGAGCCTGGTTCGAGTCATCATAGCTGCTGCGCTAGTGCTAGTGGTTTTATGAAAATCATCGAAGGGAAACAAGCAAGCATTACAGCACAACTGTCGAGAAACAAAGTCGAAACTGTTGCTAAAAATAGCCAGGTGCTTAGATCTGTTATAAAGGTCATCATTCTGTGCGGTCGACAAAATATTCCACTTAGAGGTCATGATGACAACAATAGTAACTTTACTGTCCTGTTGAAAGACAAGGCCAACAGGGATGAAATCCTGAAAACACACCTGTCCTCTAAATCTAAGGTTACTTACACTTCGCCTATGATCCAAAATGAATTAATCACTTTGTTGGGAAATAACATAAAAGGCAAGATAGTTCAGCAGTGCAACGATGCTATTTGTTATTCATTTCTTGCAGATGAAGCTACTGACGCGAGCACTATGGAACAAATTGCTATGTGTGTAAGATATTATTCTGAAACTGAACAGGACGTGCGTGAAGACTTTGTGGGCTTTGTGCAAACAGAATCTACAACAGGAGAGGCTCTTTTTAACAAGTTTATTGAGGGGCAGCGGGACACAGGATTAGACATCTCCAAGATGAGGGGACAAAGGTATGATGGGGCCAGTAATATGTCTGGTTGTCATCGAGGTGTGCAAGCTCGGGTCCAGCAAGTAGTTCCCCAAGCAATGTATGTGCACTGCAAAGCCCATAGCCTTAATTTGTCAATTGTGCATGCCTGTAAAGAGGCACTCGTCAGAAACTTGTTGGACACAGTACAACAAATCGGATTTGCTTTCAAGTACTCTGCCAAACGTCTTTTAGATTTCAAAGAGGAGCTTGGCAACGATCCCGTGGCACAGGAAGAGATGCAGAAGAGAACACGTCTTCAAAGTCTGTGTGAGACGCGATGGGCTAGTCGGGCTGACGCACTTTACACTTTCAAAGCTGCATACACATCAATTGTAAGTGCACTGGAGGTGTTAGAACGAGAGGGAGACTCAAAAGCACGGAGCTACAGATGCAGTATCCTTGGGTTCGACTTCATCATCTCTCTAGTTGTGGTTGAATTCGTCCTCCAGGGTGTTATGCCTCTAAACAAGCTGCTACAGAAGCAGAATATCGACTTGATCGAAGCAGCCGAGTTCTTATAGCCACATTTCGTGCAGAGAGAGCCGATGATGCTGTGTGGGATGGGCTTTACGACAAAGCAGTTGCCATGGCAGAAGACCAAGGAGTCGAGCCTTCAAAGCCTATAACAGCTCGACGCCAACAGCACCGTGGCAGTTTAGTATCATGAGACGCCTGAAAAACCACATGAGATCAACGATGCTCACAGAACGGATGTCTGGACTAGCCCTGTTGCACGCCTACAGACACATGGAAATAGATATTGATATTATCATTAACGAGTTTGCGGCCAGCAAAGGCCGCAAGTTAGACTTGCTGTGAAATGTAGACTAGTTGAAATAAACGAAAGTAAAGCTATTATCTCCATTTTTATGCTAAAATAAATGGATTTTCGTTGGTCAAGAAAGCTCTCCGGAGGCCCCAAAACGCACCAAATTGCACCATTTATTTCAAATTTATTACAACAAATATTCAGTACAATAAGACATTACAACAAATATTCAGTACAATAAGACATAATTGTAACCGGATATCAAGCTGTTACCGGATATCAAAATTAAATGCTGAAATGGTTGTCTATTATAACGACGTAAATTTTACGCAACGAAATTGCGGACTAAATGACAAGCAAGATAAAAAAAAACTGTTACTGGATATCAATCTGTTACCGGATATCAAACTGTTACCTGATATCAAACTGTTACCGGATATCAAACTGTTACCGGATATCAAACTGTTACCAAACTGTTACCGGATATCAAACTGTTACCTGATATCAAACTGTTACCGGATATCAAATTATTACCGGATATCAAACTGTTACCGGATATCAATCTGTTACCGGATATCAAATTGTTACCGGATATCAAATTATTACCGGATATCAAACTGTTACCGGATATCAAATTGTTACCGGATATCAAACTGTTACCAGATATCACACTTTTACTGGATATCACACTGTTACCGGATATCAAACTGTTACCGGATATCAAACTGTTACCGGATATCAATCTGTTACCGGATATCAAATTGTTACCGGATATCAAATTGTTACTGGATATCAAACTGATACTGGAAATCAAACTGTTACCTGATATCAAACTGTCACCGGATATCAAACTGTTACCGGATATAAAACTGTATACAGTATAACGACTATAACTTGAGACAAAACTATTCCAGCCCTATAATGAGGATTTCCTTCTCCACTGCAACCCATTTCAACGAAACAGGACACATTCTATCGTAGCAGAAAGAAGACACTACCGCCAATTCCGAACACCAGACCAGAGGTACAACTTGAAGGTAAATTTACCCAGACCACCAGTGGATTAAGTACAAGCAAATGATGGAGACAACGACAAAATACTGATATTCACTACTGACGAGAACCTAGTACATCTATGCTCTGCCGAGTTCGTCTACTGCGATGGAACCTTTTATACAGCCCCACAGATGTTTGACAGTATCTTCACCATCCATGCTTTTGTTGGTACTGTTATGTTTCCGCTTGTGTATTCATTACTGCTGAAGAGAGATACTAACACCTACGACAGATTATTCACGCTTCTGAAAGGCATTGCCATTAGACCCAACCTGAACTTCTCACCGAGCACAGTTAGCCTTGATTTCAAATGTGCTTCCCGTAATGCCGTCACTCAGACATATATCTATAATGTTAATTATGTTTGTATGGATGACATTGCAAAAAGAATACTAGTATATAGCTAAATAAACATTATTAAATTAATTACTTGACTTCCTTATTTTGTATATACAAGGTTCCATTTCGCCTTAGCTGACTCCTTCCTACCTGGTTTTGGCACTAAGGCGAAATGGGAATAATTTTTTACCATGAAATTGACAGCTAAGGCGAAATTGGGAGTAAGCCGTCTTTATCGGGGCTTCGATACCTCTACTTTCGAAATTTAATGTGAAATGATTTAAGGTGCGTTTCGTTTCTTTGATTTGTTAGATAGATATTCACTGCTAATAGGAAAACTTTAAACATGAGAAATGACTGTGAAATATCATAGTCGGAAACATATTTTCAGTATTGGGGAATGTGAAGTTTGACGTTTTTGTTGTCTTTAATTATTTCTAACCATTTACTGTGTCATCATCACATTTTTCCGAACTTAATATCATTTTGATTTGCCTCAACAAATGAAACATAATCCTTTTGTGTACATGTTCCCACTGCTTAAATTACGATTGTTTTCTTATGTACTATCAACGTGATTGGTTATACTGGTGTGCTGTGAACAGTTCACACTTCTTTGAAAGTTTAAAACAGGAAAATGTATGACAAACATATGCCATTGTTTCTTGATTATTGATTATCTTGATTCAATTGTTATCTAATTCTTGTGTCCATTTTAATCAAAATCCTCAGATTGATAAAGGTAAATGTGACATTGTTGGCTATTGACGGCCCCATGAAATAGCGGCGGCACTAAAAACATATTTAAACCATTAACTCATTCAAAGTACTTTACACCACTCCCTACAGTATCTAGTAAACAAGATGTCACAGCTGCCATATTAGTGGATACGTCAATGTTGTACGTCAATAAGGATGTGGTGTGCTTGCTCTTTCAAGTGATGGCCTACTCGCTTATCACCTCGCCTTTTATTTAATTTCCCTACACAGTGAACGGCCTTGCTCCTGATATTAATTTTGTCCTACACTGCTCTTCCCTGTATTGTCCAGCACCCAGATAACCACCTTGCTCCTCCTTGTATTGTCCAACACCCAGAGAACCACCTTGCTCCTCCGTGTATTGTCCTTCTCCCAGAGAAACACCTTGTTCCTCCCTGTATTTACCTACACCCAGGGAACCACCTTGCTCCCCCTGTATTGTCCAGCACCCAGAGAACCACCTTGCTCCTCCCCATATTTACCTACACCCAGAGAACCACCCTGCTCCTCCTTGTATTGTCCTTCTCCCAGAGAACCACCTTGCTCCTCCTTGTATTGTCCTTCTCCCAGAGAACCACCTTGCTCCTCCTTGTATTGTCCAGCACCCAGAGAACCACCTTGCTCCTCCCCGTATTTACCTACACCCAGAGAACCACCTTGCTCCTCCCTGTATTGTCCAGCACCCAGAGAACCACCTTGCTCCTCCTTGTATTGTCCAGCACCCAGGGAACCACCTTGCTTCTCCGTGTATTGTCCTTATCCCAGTGAACCACCTTGCTACTCCCTGTATTTACCTACACCCAGAGAACCACCTTGCTCCTCCTTGTATTGTCCAGCACCCAGAGAACCACCTTGCTCCTCCGTGTATTGTCCATCACCCAGAGAACCACCTTGCTCCTCCCTGTATTTACCTACACCCAGAGAACCACCTTGCTCCTCCTTGTATTTACCTACACCCAGAGAACCACCTTGCTCCTCCTTGTATTGTCCACCACCCAGAGAACCACCTTGCTCCTCCGTGTATTGTCCACCACCCAGAGAACCACCTTGCTCCTCCTTGTATTTACCTACACCCAGAGAACCACCTTGCTCCTCCTTGTATCGTCCATCACCCAGAGAACCACCTTGCTCCTCCCTGTATTTACCTACACCCAGAGAACCACCTTGCTCCTCCTTGTATTGTCCAGCACCCAGAGAACCACCTTGCTCCTCCTTGTATTGTCCAGCACCCAGGGAACCACCTTGCTACTCCCTGTATTTACCTACACCCAGACAACCACCTTGCTCCTCCTTGTATTTACCTACACCCAGAGAACCACCTTGCTCCTCCTTGTATTTACCTACACCCAGACAACCACCTTGCTCCTCCTTGTATTTACCTACACCCAGAGAACCACCTTGCTCCTCCTTGTATTGTCCAGCACCCAGAGAACCACCTTGCTCCTCCTTGTATTGTCCAGCACCCAGGGAACCACCTTGCTACTCCCTGTATTTACCTACACCCAGACAACCACCTTGCTCCTCCTTGTATTTACCTACACCCAGAGAACCACCTTGCTCCTCCGTGTATTGTCCTTCACCCAGAGAACCACCTTGCTCCTCCTTGTATTTACCTACACCCAGAGAACCACCTTGCTCCTCCTTGTATTGTCCAGCTCCCAGGGAACCACCTTGCTACTCCCTGTATTTACCTACACCCAGACAACCACCTTGCTCCTCCTTGTATTTACCTACACCCAGAGAACCACCTTGCTCCTCCTTGTATTGTCCACCACCCAGAGAACCACCTTGCTCCTCCCTGTATTTACCTACACCCAGAGAACCACCTTGCTCCTCCTTGTATTGTCCAGCACCCACAGAACCACCTTGCTCCTCCTTGTATTGTCCAGCACCCAGGGAACCACCTTGCTACTCCCTGTATTTACCTACACCCAGACAACCACCTTGCTCCTCCTTGTATTTACCTACACCCAGAGAACCACCTTGCTCCTCCGTGTATTGTCCTTCTCCCAGAGAACCACCTTGCTACTCCCTGTATTTACCTACACCCAGAGAACCACCTTGCTCCTCCCTGTATTTACCTACACCCAGAGAACCACCTTGCTCCTCCTTGTATTTACCTACACCCAGAGAACCACCTTGCTCCTCCCTGTATTTACCTACACCCAGAGAACCACCTTGCTCCTCCCTGTATTTACCTACACCCAGAGAACCACCTTGCTCCTCCTTGTATTGTCCATCACCCAGAGAACCACCTTGCTCCTCCCTGTATTTACCTACACCCAGAGAACCACCTTGCTCCTCTCTGTATTTACCTACACCCAGAGAACCACCTTGCTCCTCCTTGTATTTACCTACACCCAGAGAACCACCTTGCTCCTCCTTGTATTTACCTACACCCAGAGAACCACCTTGCTCCTTCCTGTATTTACCTACACCCAGAGAACCACCTTGCTCTTCTCTGTATTTACCTACACCCAGAGAACCACCTTGCTCCTCCTTGTATTTACCTACACCCAGAGAACCACCTTGCTCCTCCCTGTATTTACCTACACCCAGAGAACCACCTTGCTCCTCCTTGTATTTACCTACACCCAGAGAACCACCTTGCTCCTCCCTGTATTTACCTACACCCAGAGAACCACCTTGCTCCTCCTTGTATTTACCTACATCCAGAGAACCACCTTGCTCCTCCCTGTATTTACCTACACCCAGAGAACCACCTTGCTCCTCCCTGTATTTACCTACACCCAGAGAACCACCTTGCTCCTCCTTGTATTGACCACACCCAGAGAACCACCTTGCTCCTCCTTGTATTTACCTACACCCAGAGAACCACCTTGCTCCTCCTTGTATTTACCTACACCCAGAGAACCACCTTGCTCCTCCTTGTATTTACCTACACCCAGAGAACCACCTTGCTCCTCCTTGTATTGTCCAGCACCCAGAGAACCACCTTGCTCCTCCTTGTATTTACCTACACCCAGAGAACCACCTTGCTCCTCCTTGTATTTACCTACACCCAGAGAACCACCTTGCTCCTCCTTGTATTTACCTACACCCAGAGAACCACCTTGCTCCTCCCTGTATTTACCTACACCCAGAGAACCACCTTGCTTGTATTGATCTACACACAGAGAACCTCTTCTACTCCCTGTATTGATCTACACACAGAGAACCTCTTCTTACCTACACCACAGAGAACACCTTGCTCCTCCTTGTACAGAACCTCTTCACCCAGAGAACCACCTTTCTCCTCCTTGTATTTACCTACACACAGAGAACCACCTCTCCTTGTATTGACCTACACACAGAGAACCACCTTCTCTCCTTGTATTTACCTACACACAGAGAACCACCTTGCTCCTCCTTGTATTGTCCAGCACCCAGATAACCACCTTGCTCCTCCCTGTATTTACCTACAACCAGAGAACCACCTTGCTCCTCCCTGTATTTACCTACACCCAGAGAACCACTTCTCTCCTCCCTGTATTGACCTACACACAGAGAACCACCTTCTCTCCTTGTATTGTACACCAGAGAACACCCAGAGAACCACCTTGCTCCTCCCTGTATTTACCTACACACAGAGAACCACCTCTCCTTGTATTGACCTACACACAGAGAACCACCTTGCTCTCTCCTTGTATTGATCTACACACAGAGAACCTCTTCTCTCCAGCTTGTATTGACCTACACACAGAGAACCTCTTCTCTCCAGCTTGCATTGTCCAACACACAGAGAACCTCTTCTCTCTCCTTGCATTGACCTACACACAGAGAACCTCTTCTCTCCAGCTTGTATTGATCTACACACAGAGAACCTCTTCTCTCCAGCTTGTATTGATCTACACACAGAGAACCTCTTCTCTCCAGCTTGTATTGATCTACACACAGAGAACCTCTTCTCTCCAGCTTGTATTGATCTACACACAGAGAACCTCTTCTCTCCAGCTTGTATTGATCTACACACAGAGAACCTCTTCTCTCCAGCTTGTATTGACCTACACACAGAGAACCTCTTCTCTCCAGCTTGTATTGACCTTCACACAGAGAACCTCTTCTCTCCAGCTTGTATTGATCTACACACAGAGAACCTCTTCTCTCCAGCTTGTATTGATCTACACACAGAGAACCTCTTCTCTCCAGCTTGTATTGATCTACACACAGAGAACCTCTTCTCTCCAGCTTGTATTGATCTACACACAGAGAACCTCTTCTCTCCAGCTTGTATTGATCTACACACAGAGAACCTCTTCTCTCCAGCTTGTATTGATCTACACACAGAGAACCTCTTCTCTCCAGCTTGTATTGACCTTCACACAGAGAACCACCTTGCTCTGCCTTCCTTGACCTGCACCCAGAAAACCACTTAGCCCCTTCTTGTCTTGCAAGAACCAGCTTGCTACTTCTTTTATTGATCTCAACCCACAGAAGCACCTGGATCTTTTTTGTGTTGACCTGCAATAAGAAAAGTGCCTGGCTCCTTCTTGTATTGACCTACACATAGAAAACCTCCTGGATCGTTCTTGTGTTGAACTTAACACAGAGAACCTCCTCACTCCTCCTAGTATTGTCATATATATCTGCTGGTTATGTTTGAGTTTGATTTCTTCTCTGATAAGCACTTTTTCTCATGAACATTAAAAACGCTGAGCAGTACATGGTAGAAAATCCATTTTATTTATATACAAAAAAATCTGAACACATCACATTTAAATTCATTACAGATAATATACTGTTGTTACTTTACATTCGTCTGTCAGATTTTACAGAGACTAAACCTCTATCAAATAATACAAAATTGAGAAACGGAGCAGAGAGAACAAACACATCAACTATCTTTTGGATAATTTTCAAATGTTAGTTTATTAGTACTTGAACAACTGGGCATTGTACCCATGTGCAAAAAGGGCAATAACTCTTGTCAAAAATATTCGATCCTTTAGCCAAAAGTCAAATGAAGATGAGAGACCAGTGATATCAACAAACTAATGTCTATGGACTGATTAACCTTTCAATGAAATTCAGTTCTGAGATATCAGGCTAAATGATTTATATGTACAACAATACACTTCTCCAGTGTGGCTATCATATTTGCAAACCTCTATTTACAAGAAAATCTACTCTTTTATCCAAGTTTAAAATTCAAATTTTCATGATTTCAGAAATCCAATGAGTCAAACTGAAATGCAGTTTAAACCTATTTTTAAAGGAATAGGTTAAAATAGTCTTTTCTGAGGCCTAAAATTTTGAACACCTAAAATTTGCTTAAGGAAATTTGTAAGATGTTATCAAGTATGAAGTTTTACAAATGTCACAAATTGCTACATACATATTTTTATAGACAATACTATGTCCATACTTCAGCAGACTAAAGCAATCATGGTTGCTTGCATTTCCACATTTCTGACAAACTGAAAATACAGGTAAACAGTCCTGTTGACCAGACATCCAGTGTCATTTGCCAATAATTCTGCTCTGTTTATAGATAACTTAAAATGGAAACATAATTTGTACTAATGATAAGATACAATAAGTTGATATCAGTTCTAGTCACAGGATGCCAAAAAATATGTAGTATTGTTGAATAGTTATTATAGGATTGTTTAAATCTTATAAACTTTTTGTTTTTCCTAAAAGCAACCCAGAAGTGAAGGCTTAGTGGCAAAGATGCCAGATGCATTCAGAACTCGGCCACAGTGACCCCTGATACATAATACCATATATCAATAAATTCATTCCACCATAGAGACCCTCAAAATTCAATCCACTGAAGTAGGATACACTTCCATCAGCCTCAGATAAGTGTCTCACATAAGGTTCTGCAGCATACCACAACATGTCTTATATCAATCACTGTCCTCGGAACCAGCTGGTGATCCACCACCACTTCCAGAACCAGCCGGTGATCCTGGTGCGGAACCAGCCTCACTTCCACTTCTTGACCCTGCAGGTGATTTTCGGCCTCCGTCTGACTCACTGCCTGATCCACTTTTTCTCCCTCCATCAGATTCGCTTCCTGACCTACGAGGTGAACCTCTCTCTGAACTGGATCCTGAGCCAGAGCGTCGTCCAGATCTTGAACTTCGGCGTGATCTTCCACTGTCAGAACCAGAGCCACGTCTGTCATTGTCTGAACCACTACCCTCATCACTGCTAGCAGAGGAGAGGATTCTTCGCTTCCTTCCAACACCATCTTCCTGCTCAGAGTCACTGCCACTGTTTCAACAAAATGCTTATAATCAGTAACAACCCCAAAAGTTATACAACTGTCTTTATCACATAACTAGCTTGTGGTGTGATGTCATATGACCATATCATAAATATCATAAGATACATGTGTATCAACACTACTGTGACATCATAAATAATTCACGTTTTCATGACTTAACATAATTGTCTCAGTAGTGAAACACTCACGGTTTGCTTCAAAATAAATCTGCCTTATAGGGAAACTTGTCACTTATTTAAAAAAAATAACAGGGATATGATAAGTAGAATATCACAATTGTGACCACGAAATATAGGATTTATTAAACTCTTTCAATAATTTGATATGCCAATGTATCAAATTATTGAAATTTTAAAATAAATCCCACATTACACTTACACTCATGTAACATCATCTATATGTATCAGCCATCAGACTTTTCTTAATATTTGAAATACAGTCAAAACACCAAACCCTTGCTAAACACAGAAAGGCTGGAGTCTGGATTTTATATCTACCTGAGTTGGGCAGGTAATACAACCCAAACAAGTAGAATTCAAACAAGTCAACATTAAATCCTCTAGGATCTATTCTTATAAATAGAACTATCAGTAATTCATACCTAATAATGATAAATTCGGAGGGCTTTGTTTTGTTAGTCTATACCGAGTGTTTATCATTCAAATTCTGCTCATCTAATTTATGGAATAGAGAAAATTTTAACAACTTACGGATCATCAATTTTGAGTCGGCGTGCCCCTTCAGAATCGGACCCTTCACTTGATGATATGATCTCCTTGGAGACGACCTTCCTGCGTTGTTTAGCTGTGAGTCCATCCTCATCCAATTTCTTCTTTGATACTTTTTCCTTCTTGCCCTTACGTTTCCTTGCTGGTCGATCATCATCCTCATCATCACTGTCATCTCCACCTCCTCTCCTCGACCTATTAAACAATGTTAAAACAATGCAGATTTTCTCCATTTATACATGTTTTTATCATGGTGGAATTTTGATGTTAAAAAACCATATTTGAAAAATTGGAATGACTTGTCTTTCCATGCTTTTCTCTCATCAGAATACTATTGATTTTTGATTTTTCCATGCTTTCCCCTCATCAGAATACTATTAATTTTTCCATACTTTTCCCTCATCAGAATACTATTGATCTACCATGCTTTTCCCTCATCAGAATACTATTGATTTTTCCTTGCTTTCCCTCATCAGAATACTATTGATATTTCCATACTTTTCCCTCATCAGAATACTATTGATCTACCATGCTTTTCCCTCATCAGAATACTATTAATTTTTCCATGCTTTCCCTCATCAGAATACTATTGATCTACCATGCTTTTCCCTCACCAGAATACTATTGATTTACCATGCTTTTCCCTCATCAGAATACTATTGATCTACCATGCTTTTCCCTCATCAGAATACTATTGATTTTTCCTTGCTTTCCCTCATCAGAATACTATTGATCTACCATGCTTTTCCCTCACAAGAATACTATTGATCTACCATGCTTTTCCCTCACAAGAATACTATTGATTTACCATGCTTTCCCTCACCAGAATACTATTGATTTTTCCATGCTTTCCCTCACCAGAATACTATTGATTTACCATGCTTTCCCTCATCAGAATACTATTGATTTACCATGCTTTTCCCTCACCAGAATACTATTGATTTTTCCATGCTTTTCCCTCATCAGAATACTATTAATTTTTCCATGCTTTCCCCTCACCAGAATACTATTAATTTTTCCTTGCTTTCCCTCATCAGAATACTATTGATATTTCCATACTTTTCCCTCATCAGAATACTATTAATTTTTCCATGCTTTCCCCTCATCAGAATACTATTAATTTTTCCATGCTTTCCCCTCATCAGAATACTATTAATTTTTCCATGCTTTCCCCTCACCAGAATACTATTAATTTTTCCATGCTTTCCCCTCATCAGAATACTATTAATTTTTCCATGCTTTCCCCTCATCAGAATACTATTGATTTACCATGCTTTTCCCTCATCAGAATACTATTGATTTTTCCTTGCTTTCCCTCATCAGAATACTATTAATTTTTCCATGCTTTCCCCTCATCAGAATACTATTGATCTACCATGCTTTTCCCTCATCAGAATACTGTTGATTTTTCCTTGCTTTCCCTCATCAGAATACTATTGATCTACCATGCTTTTCCCTCACCAGAATACTATTAATTTTTCCATGCTTTCCCTTATCAGAATACTATTGATTTTTCCATGCTTTCCCTCACCAGAATACTATTGATTTACCATGCTTTCCCCTCATCAGAATACTATTAATTTTTCCATGCTTTCCCTTATCAGAATACTATTGATCTACCATGCTTTTCCCTCACCAGAATACTATTGATTTACCATGCTTTCCCCTCATCAGAATACTATTAATTTTTCCATGCTTTCCCTTATCAGAATACTATTGATCTACCATGCTTTTCCCTCACCAGACTACTATTGATTTACCATGCTTTCCCCTCATCAGAATACTATTAATTTTTCCATGCTTTCCCCTCATCAGAATACTATTGATCTACCATGCTTTTCCCTCATCAGAATACTGTTGATTTTTCCTTGCTTTCCCTCATCAGAATACTATTGATCTACCATGCTTTTCCCTCACCAGAATACTATTAATTTTTCCATGCTTTCCCTTATCAGAATACTATTGATTTTTCCATGCTTTCCCTCACCAGAATACTATTGATTTACCATGCTTTCCCCTCATCAGAATACTATTAATTTTTCCATGCTTTCCCTTATCAGAATACTATTGATCTACCATGCTTTTCCCTCACCAGAATACTATTGATTTACCATGCTTTCCCCTTATCAGAATACTATTAATTTTTCCATGCTTTCCCTTATCAGAATACTATTGATTTACCATGCTTTCCCCTCATCAGAATACTATTAATTTTTCCATGCTTTCCCTCATCAGAATACTATTGATCTACCATGCTTTTCCCTCACCAGAATACTATTAATTTTTCCATGCTTTCCCTTATCAGAATACTATTGATTTTTCCATGCTTTCCCTCACCAGAATACTATTAATTTTTCCATGCTTTCCCTTATCAGAATACTATTGATCTACCATGCTTTTCCCTCACCAGAATACTATTAATTTTTCCATGCTTTCCCTTATCAGAATACTATTGATTTACCATGCTTTTCCCTCATCAGAATACTATTGATTTTTCCATGCTTTCCCCTCATCAGAATACTATTGATTTACCATGCTTTTCCCTCACCAGAATACTATTGATTTACCATGCTTTTCCCTCACCAGAATATTATTGATTTACCATGCTTTTCCCTCATCAGAATACTATTGATTTACCATGCTTTTCCCTCATCAGAATATTATTGATTTACCATGCTTTTCCCTCATCAGAATATTATTGATTTACCATGCTTTTCCCTCACCAGAATACTATTGATTTACCATGCTTTCCCCTCATCAGAATACTATTGATTTACCATGCTTTTCCCTCATCAGAATATTATTGATTTACCATGCTTTTCCCTCATTAGAATACTATTGATTTACCTTCTCTGAGTGCTAATTCTTTTCCTTCCCCTCTCCACATTACTACTGCTTTTCCCTCATCAGAGTTCTTTGCCGCATAGATTGCTTTCCCTCATCAGAGTGATAACGTTCTTTGCCATCAGAATACTATTGATTTTCCCATTAGAGGACTTTTTGTACAGTTGTTACTAAATTGTTCACAAATACTATACAATACTGTCATACCCCCCAGTAAATGATACTGGTTCTCTACATCATATCACGATACTTACTTTCCGGATGCTCTCTTGCGTTTCTTCTTGCCTCTGTCTCTTTCCCCTTCACCTTCCGAGCCACTGTCTAGCCTCTTTTTCCTCTTCCTCCTCGGTGCTTCATCACCACTTTCTGACAGAATTTCACCATCGTCATTGTGCTTCTTCTTCTGTAACATTTAAGACAGTAGTATTTAGATACTCTACTCCATATTTACTTCTGTATATCTCTCTGAATAACCAGTAATGTGGTCCTAACATTACAGTTAACTCCCCTTAATGTTCCCAAATGTGTCCCTTACTTTTCATTTAACTAATGTCTATCTTCAATGTCTTCAATCCTTATGTAATATATTTTTCAAAACAATTTTATCACCAACTTTCTACTTACCACTCCTTTGCATCAAATGTATTCTAAACATCACATGCTCCTCACTCTTCCTTGTTTTTCCTCAAACCATAATGTGCCCTATTCCCTCTCCATTACAATAATGTGTCCCTTAAATATTGATATTCACCTTTCCTTAGCTGGTAATGTGACTCTTAGCCTGCCCACACTTCACCCTGATAGCAACTTTTCCTTTCTAACCCTGCCCACCATTTTTCTTTACTTATCCTGCCCCCACTTTTTTTCCTGTTCTTCCTTGTTCACATTTTTCCTTTACTAACCTGTCCCCAGTTTGTTTTTTTTTGTACTTCCCGTTTCAACTCTTTTCTTTTACTTACTCTGCCCTCACTTTCCCCTTACTGACCCTGCCCACACTTTTCTGTTCTTCTCCTGTCCAGTTTTCTGTACTTCCCCTGTCCAGTTTTCTGTACTGACCCTGCCCAAACTTTTCCTTTACTTACACTTCCCACAATTTTCCACACTTCCCCTGCCATTTTTTTCTTTCTTTATCCTAACAACACAATTCCTTTACTAACAATGCCCACACTTTTCTGTACTTCCCCTGCCTACACTTTTCCTTTACTTACACTTCCCCTGCCTACACTTTTTTCTTTCCTTATCCTAACAACACAATTCCTTTACTAACAATGCCCACACTTTTCTGTACTTCCCCTGTCCACATTTTTTTCTGTACTTTTCCTGGCCCCACATTTCCATTACTAATCCTGCCACACTTTTCTGTACTTATATTGCAAATACTTTTTTCTTTACTTTACCTGCCCACAATTTTCCACACTTCCCCTGTCCACATTTTTTTCTGTTTTTTACCAATTTTTTACTAATCCTGCTATACTTTTCTGTACTTATATTGCACATACTTTTTTCTTTTACTTTACCTGCTCACAATTTTCCACACTTCCCCTGTACACATTTGTTTCTGTACTTTTCCTGGCCACACATTTCCTTTACTAATCCTGCCACACTTTCTGTACTTATATTGCTCATACTTTTTTTCTGTACTTTACCTACCCACACTTTTGCCATATTGACCATGTCCACATTTTTTTCTGTACTCACCCTGCCCACACTTTTGCGGGGTTTATCTTCCACTTCTGGTTCCAGGGCAATCTTTTTGGCCTTCTCCACAATCTTGGCTCTTTCCTCCATCATACGACGGCCCTTCTCTACCCGGACCTTTTGCTTTTCTTCCTGAAAATCAAAACAATCAAGTATAAGCAACATTGTTACTAATACATATTTCACTCAAATACAAGGTAACGAAAGCCAATTAGGGCAAGATGTATTTTTCATCAGTTACATCTGCAGATATTCTTCAGTTGGAATATGTAGCCAGCATAAAAAAGAGCAGGCAATCACTCAAACAGCAGGCATTTTATATAGAATGTTTACAGAAATTTAAAAAATGAGATTACCATAGCAACCGAGAATTTAATTTGTTTAACAAACATTATATTGCCTAAATTTAGAGGAATAGCTTACAGCTATTAGGGCCACTTGGAAGATAAGAGTTTTATCAAAAGCTGTTTTCATCCTCCAGACATGAAGGATTAAAATTGCATTAAAATACAATATTGACAAACCTCATCTTGTCTATGCTTCTCTCTGATAGCCTCTCGTTCTTGCTCATGTCTCTTCCTCATTTCCCTCTCTGCTTCATCAATCTTGCGTGCTCGTGCTACATGATACTGAGCCTGACTGAGCAAATCGGAACATTGCCTGAAACATTAAATAAGCTACACTCATAAGTCACAAAGATGATTGTTACAACACAGAAACCACAAGGATGATTGTTACAACACAGAAACCACAAGGATGATTGTTACAACACAGAAACCACAAGGATGATTGTTAGTACACAAAATACACTCCTTTAACAAGCTGTACTACAGTGACCTACTTCTTGTATATCAACACCATTTTACAGAACTGTACCACAGTGACCTACTTAATGAATATAAACACCACTTTACCAAGCTATGCTCATATACAACTTTTGAAGATCTTTAAGAGAAAGCAGGAAATATCCAAAACATTTACTGGCCATGGTAAGCATGATTCTATACAGTACCTGGCTTCTGCTTCAGCCTGCGCTAGATCGAATTTCATCCGGTCTCCATGTTGACTGAGATAGCTGAAGTACCTGAAGAAGATAGAAATGGTGAAAATTGTACAACATTAAATATGATGATTGATTCTAAAAGAACACTAAGTGAATAAAGGACAACAAGCCTGCAGGCTAAGGAAAACATTTGTAGAAATAGCTTATTGTTTATGTAAGATCGACAAACCTATAGGTTAAGGACATCATTCATAGGACTGGCTACCTTTTAAGTTGATGTAGGGACAAAAAACCCACAGGCGTATGAAAACAGTTATAGGATTGGAAACTTGTTTATTTGGGAACAACAATCCTAAAGGCTAACATTCCTAGGACTGGCAATTTGTTTATATAGGAATAACAAATCTACAGGCTTTTTTTTTAGGATTCACTACGTGTTTGATGATGTTGGAACAAACAACCTTCATGTTAAGAGGAAAGTGCATCTAGCACATTAAGATTGATTTAGAAGAACATTTCAGCATTTATACATTCTCAAGACATAACTTGTTAGGGAATTGATAAACCTACTTCCTGTATTAGAAGATTGTATCATTGTGTTACACATTAAAAGGCTGATGGACTTACTTATGAGCAAGTTCCAGATCTCGGACAGCACACAGGACTGTTTTCAGACTACTCTTCTCATCCTTCAGTATTGAAGTGGCTAACTTTTGCTGTACCAGGGCAATATTGTACAGAAGTACAGTGTCACTTGGGGAAACATGGCGTGCCTGAAATATGATCATTATAAAGTGATGTAGTATCACTGGGGGGAACATGGTGTGACTGAAATAGGATCATTATAAAGTGATGTAGTATCACTGGGGGGAACATGGTGTAACTGAAATAGGATCATTATAAAGTGATGTAGTATCACTGGGGGGAACATGGTGTGACTGAAATAGGATCATTATAAAGTGATGTAGTATCACTGGGGGGAACATGGTGTGACTGAAATAGGATCATTATAAAGTGATGTAGTATCACTGGGGGGAACATGGTGTGACTGAAATAGGATCATTATAAAGTGATAAAATAACACTGGGGGCGGGGGGAGAAACATGGTGTGACTGAAATATTATCATTATAAAGTGATGTAGTAACACTGGGGAGAACATGGTGTGACTGAAATATTATCATTATAAAGTGATAAAGTTACACTGGGGGAAACATGGTGTAACTGAAATATGTAAGTGTTCAGTGCCACCTGGAGAAATATGATGTGCTATCTGACACATACATATTGGTCAATCCAAGTGAGTTATGTTCTCAAATGAGTATCACTGTGGAAATTTTTGTACATATGAAATATTTCAGTATAAAACTTGGCAAGCCTACCTTAAGTAAGATGTTCTTACACTCACGGAGACGGCCACACTTGTAGTAGGCTCTAGCCAGATAAACCATCACCTCCATGTTGTGGTATTTGTAAAACTTCTTAAGGCAGTTCTCATACTGAAAGTATAACATTGAAAGTCCACTGAAGAAATGATGACGGTTTCCACACTTTCAATCAGAAGATACATTTTCATGTTACACTGGCAGTGTTTTTATTTGATAAGGTCAGTATGCTTCTTAATTGTCGTATAAAGAACAGAATTTACAAATTTGAAAGAAAACAAGAATCATTACCATGTTTGAATTTTAGCTCAGACTCCCTAATCTTTAAAGATTCATCAGAAGTTATCATATTACTTTTTAATATTAGACCTTTTATCTGTCCAAAAACCTGGGTCAAATAATGACCTATATGAAGGGACATTGGCCCAGGCTAATCACTATTGCCTACTTCCTAAGCCGCAGAGATATGACAACACAAATAACCCTTTTTTTATGTGTGCTGTATGCGTTATCATGTCAATGCCTGGGTTGATAATAAGTTTTTTCTCCCAACCAGACCTATATCACTTCCTCCAGGGTAATATCTGGCTCCTGGGGTAATGAAAGGTACTACATCAAAATTGTCATATCATAACCCGTAATTATTGCTTTTTCCAGAATACGGCCTCATTTATTTTATTGTCCTTTCATCTATCATAAATAATTATTAAATCATGGAAAGAACAATTTCTAAACAATACCAAGTAATTGTATAATTCACATTCCATTCCAAGTTCTTTTTTCTCCAGTCACTTAATATGACTCCTACTGTAATGTTGCTAAATATGACTCCTACTGTAATGTTGCTAAATGTGACTCCTACTGTCATGTTGCTAAATATGACTCCTACTGTCATGTTGCTAAATATGACTCCTACTGTCATGTTGCCAAATATGACTCCTACTGTCATGTTGCTAAATATGACTCTTAACCTCCTACCAGGATACATAGTCTGTTAATTTATCATGTCTCCTATTGAGCCACAATTCCATTCTAATTAGACAATTCATTTTACTTATGAAGGAAATGTGTGGGGGGACGGGTGTTGCTAAATAAACACTGTCTCCTGTTAAAAGTCACAGGAAACACGGTGTGCAATTTAATCACACACATATAGGAAATTTCTCGTTTCTTGATAATTAACAATTATTTTTATCATGTGCGTTGGAAAGATCCATCCAGCATTTCTCAAGATCATTGTCAAAATAAAAAATATTGCTGCCTCTTAGCCATTTGGTTCTTTTGATCAGTCCTTGTAAATGAAAAAGGCATAACTAGAGTCTAAGGCAAACCTACAGATCATACCTGGTATATGAGACAGATCCACAGAGCAGTTCTTAAGAAATAGCAACAACAAACTTTCATTGTCAAAGTCAAAGTTGGCCACCGGTCAGCCATTTTTTTTTATTAGTTCCAAAATCGAAGGGACTAAAGGGCACAAGAATAATCCATCCAGCACTTCTCAAAAAAAACCAAGACTTGTTTACTGTTTATGGATTTGAATAATTTGGACAACTTGAAGAACCCACCATTTGATGATGATTATGATGAACTAAAAATTAATTGACAACTAACCATATGCAAAGACAGGAAAATATCTTAGATGAACAAGCTGATTCCAGTATCCACAACCACCAACCACCCCTGACCCCACACACACACCAGGGGGATTAATAAACCAGGAAGATTTTGTTTCCTGTCAGGAGTGACAGGAGTATGTGTTATATACTTTACAGTTGATATATGTGAATAACAATTCCAGCATGCTGACAGCTCTTGTATAATCTATTCTGATACCATCTGCTTCAGTGTGAAAAACTAATCTTTAATGAATCATGAGAAATTATCATATTACTCTATAAGATCAGACCTTTTATCTGTCTAAGAACCCAGGTCAAAGAATGACCTGGATGAAGTGGCCCAGGCTAATCGCTATGGTTTGACCCTAAGCCACAGAGATATGACAACACAAATAGCCCCTTTTTTAACATGTGCTGTATGCATTGTCATGTCAATGCCCATGCTGATAATTTTTTCCCACACTGATATCACTTCATCCAGGCTCTTGGGTCTGTATTTTCGCTTTCTGTTGTATATTTGATACAGAGAACATCTGAAAGCTGTATTTCAATGTTTCTCCATTTAAAATTGTTCAATTATTTTTTCAATTCCTTCCAATTTTTTTTTTTTTTTTAACAAAAACTGCGATCAAAAGATTCTCATATGACTATTTGGATGTTACATCCTTGACCAGTCCTTAACCAGTCCTTGACCAGTCCTTAACCAGTCCTTAACCAGTCCTTAACCAGTCCTTGACCAGTGATCAGCTTTCAATCAGATTAATATTGGGGTTTTGTGCTAATAAAAGGTACGATAACAAATACTCTCATACAATAACCATGGCCTTATTTATTGTATCATCCTTTCATCTACCATCTGGTTTTTTTTTATAATGGAAAAAAAATATTTTTAAACAATACCTAGTAATTATATTATTCACAATCCATATGATGTTCTCTATTCTCTAGTCACTATACATGCCCCCTACCAAAATGTCACTTACTATACCCCTTGTCTGATAACGCTAAACATGCCCTCTGCCATAATGTCACTAAATATACCCCCTTCTATAGTACATGTCCCCTGTAAAATAACAATTCCAGCATGCTGACAGCCTCTGTGTAATCTATACTGCCACCATCTGCTTCATTGTGACAAACAATTCAACACTGCTGGCAAATGTTTTGATCATTTCCTGATATAGTAAAGCCTTGTTATTCTGCCTAAGGTATCTGATGATATAGAATTAGGACATACATAACATTTGTCAGGATTGAATAAAGAGGCCAAATAGGCCTGTATCACTTATCTGTGCTGCAGATTGTTTTAAGACTTTATTCGAGTAGTTTTCCAGAGTGTTTCAACAGAAATAGACAAATTCACCTCAGTTTCCTACTGGACCAATATCATGACCATTGGTGTTTTGGCTACTGAGAAGTTATTTAAAGATTTAACACATTTGACCTTGATGACAGAACAAGATAATACATTTTACAAGTTATTGACAACATCTCTATGAAGAGTGGAACACAAGAGCCAATTTCTGTAACTGAAACTCCACTTTGATGCATCACCTTCCCTGATGCTTGAGTGTAGCAAGTTTGGTGACTGTTGGTAAAATGGCACTGAAGTTGTCCTTTGCACAATGTAATGTTGATACTGCCCATTCATCTGTCCACAGACCAATATATAAATGAAATGTCTAACGACAAGGTTGATGTCACCTAGCCAGTTAGTCTATCACACATAATTCAACATAAGGACATACCATCTACTTACCATCTGTACAGCAGCCACGAACTGTTTCTGCTCCACATAGATATGGGCAATATTCAGCCAAACATCACAGTAGTCTGCAGTTGCCTCACGTACCTGGGCAAAAACATCACGAGATTCGTTGATACAACCCTTGTGAGCAAGGACACATCCTGCAATATACAAACAAAAACTCAGGTGAGTCAAAGTTCCTGTCAACAGTTGACCTTGACTGACCTTGAAGATTGATCAAGGTGTAGAAGTATGGTGTAAATGTAGATAAAATCTGTTGAGGGGGTTCAGAAAATGGTTTGTATATCAGTTTTTTATTTCAGAAGTGGTCAAGTGTGACCTTTGACCCTATGTAACCTTGATCGATGACTGTAACAACCACTGTACAAACAAACCCCATACAAATGGTAATTTTACTAAGTACTATAAGTTACCTCAGTAGACCAACAAGACATCCCCCTTTATATGTTAGAGGTGCAACATCATAATCCTGGGTCTCATGAATAATCATCTGAGGTTGGAATTTAAGACAACTGACTCCTGTGACAAGTGGGTCATGGTCATTCCTATGGACAAAACATGATAGTCCCTCATTGCGGCAGGCTGCTGGCCCAGCAACATGACTCTTGGTTATCCAGAGGTTGACGTAAAATGTTAACAACAGGTGGACAGACATGTCTGGCACAATGTGCCATAAGAACAATGACACTTTGGGCAGGTTAAGAGTAATCATATAGCCATAATCTTATATGTATAATAACACCTATTATAAAAAGTTAGTTAGGACCATATGTGTGAGAACACCTGACGGAGCTTTATGATTGGCTGAAGGTTTCCATTGTATAATTGTGACATCATAACTCTATGATGTCTTTTGACGTGACCAATTTAGATTTAATTACTGCTATAAAGTACTGTTTTCCTGAATCCCTGCAAAAATATTAAAATTATATGTCAAGTTGCTCTGTAAAATGAAAATTCTAAGACTTGTTTTACAAATTATATATAGAATCAGAACTTGATGTAAGATCCTGCATACATAACACCTTTATCTATCCTTGTGACAAAGATGAAATGAGTGTCATCAATGATTACAAAGCTCACTAGCAGCAGCCCTTACAAAATGTATTTGAATAAATATTTTCTGAAGTCCATAAACTTTATTTTTAAGTTGTCTCCCAAGTTCAACAATCAACATCAGCTGTGTAGAGCTTTCACTGTGACACCTCTATGGGACAGCTATGACGCTGCTATGGGAACAGATGTTATTTTAGATGTTGATGAAAGACCAACATGCCACAGGTAGGGAAACAACTAATCCACAAAGCATTTTGAATCCATGTTCTAACGTTCTAAGAGAAAGTGGTCTAAAGCTTACGCTTGACTGCACCCATCACAACAGCCATACTGCTAGTGCATTGGTGATCCTGAGTAACAAGGCACCCAAAAATGGTCAATTTTGACAAAAATATAACAAGGTCAGCATTTGACTGTCATAATATCAATCTTTAACCTTTAATGATTGCCAAGTAGGATGGACATGGAATGTAAACATAAAACCCCAAAAACTTTAAAGGTGAACACAATCATGCTATCACAAGATGAATCAGATGGTAACATGTTCAAATTAAAACAAAGTAGAGGCGAACACAATCATGCTATCACAAGATGAATCAGATGGTAACATGTTCAAATTAAAACAGAGTGAGTAGGTGCTTACATGGATATAACTCCATTCTTTTGATCTAAATCCATTCTGGGCTTAATATATCAAAGGGTTCATGGGATATTGGTTGGTAAGTTTTCCTGTCTGCATAGCTCCTCTTACCTCTAGGCGTTGTCTCACCGAATGTCAGTGTTCTGGCGACAAGTTCATGGGATATCTTGCAAAAGTTTATTTCAAAATTGGTCAAGAGTGACTTTTGACCTTGGTGTTGGGGTTAAAAAAATGCTTATTACTATGCAATAAATTATCTTTTAAAGCACTTTCTCAAAATAGTTCTATCAAACTCTCAAAATCTAAGATGATTACCTGGTAGCCATTTACTTTCTCGTTAGTCCCCAAAAGCAATATATACAACTAGGCACCATGAAAAACTTATATATGTATTTGAGAAAGATCCTTTATTACTTTCTAAGAAATATACATAGCCAAGAAGTCCAACATGATTTCCAGACAGCCATCTTAGTTCCTAATAGTGTAAATTATACAAATTCACAAGACTTTCAGGAACTTATATAAATAACTGGAACAATATGTGCTTTATCAGAAATAACTTAACTCTAAAACTAGACAAGAAAGCTGTCTTTCCTGCAAACTTGTTTCTACTCAGTCCCAAAAATATAATAGGCATATCCAGGGGTAAACATAACGGTTACAGTTCAGAAAGACTGCTATATTACTTTCTGGGAGAGAAAGCTAACAAGAATTGTTTCAGAAAAGCAATTTGAACGATCCATAGTCTAATGATTGTAGGCTAATTGAAAAATAGAATTTCATAATAATTATGTATTGCTATTTACATTTCTAGTTTAAACATACAAATTTAGTAATTGATTTTTCTTTCTTTCTTTCTCGTTAATTATGAATTTGAATGAAAAACATACTTGAATTATGACAAATTAATTTCCTTTTTTTCTCAGACATGGATTTGTACTGTTACATGTGAGTAAAAACACATGTCTTGTGTACCAATATAACCTCTGTCGGTGGCTGTAATCAATATTCTGAACCTACCCGTACAACCAAACCACGCCAGATATACTTAGGTGCTAATTGAATAGTAAGTCAAGCTTCCATGGGACTTTGAAGTACTATTTGTGTTCTAATTACAGCTGTGGACAGGGGAGAAGGAGGGACCAGCTTATTTAGCTCAAAACATGGACAAATATTGTGAGTGTGCTTGTCCTAACACTTCACGCCATCTTCAGTCCGTGTCAACTGGTGCATCGTTCACCGCAGGTGATGGGCTATAAAATGAATAGCATTGCGAGGGGTCGACTTGAAGCCCATGTATTGGGTATCTCCGATGATTGAGGTCAGGCGCGTTTGTCGCTGTTGACCCCAGTTCCCTAATGATATAATCCAGTTAGAGGTATTCCATTCCAAAGTAGGAATAGACATGACAATGGGCCAGAAAGAACACCATTCATTGCTGAAGAATTACAGAACACCTCATTCAAATACGAGTTTCATTATAGACAAGCCTCAGATCTTTACAACTGTGTGATATATCAAATAAACGGTCTGTTATTAAGGCACCCTACTGTTTAAGTGGGTTGAGCTTTTCACACCAATCAAGTGTTTATGTGAATAGGATCAATCAACAGTTATCAAAAAGTTGCCATTTGTTATTCAAAAAAGGCCACATACATACTGACAATTGCACTTGCATTCTGTATTTAATACTGGTTATTGAGGGCGGGGTTTCTCCCCGCTGTAGACAATGGACCTAGAGATGTGTCTTTGTTTTGTGCAGGCCCACACCGCGATTATGTACTAAATGATCCAACATGAGGCTCTAGAAGTTCAGCGAATGAAAACAGGATAACACTTCCACAAACACATTCACAAAAGCAGGGTATTATTACCACAATTGCCTATAAAGTAGTCTTTAAGCAGGGTTACATTACCACAATCATCTATAGGGTAGTCTATAAGAAGGGTAAAATGACAGCAAATACCCTGTATATAGGGTAATCTACAGGTAGCGTAACAACTATTAAAATCAAAGAAGATATAGAGAACTAGATGGTGTAATAATGTGGTACCCGCGTAGTATTATGTTCCATTTATTATGTTAATAAATGGAACATGACATTAAAAGTTGACACATTTTCTTTGGATGTTTAACCCAGAAGTACATTCTGAATGCACCAAACTGACTTGTTTCTTAAAGAAATTGTATGAAGACAAGAAATTTGTAATTTGATTTATTTTTCCAATAAGATCAGTGATCTTTAACTCTTGTTTATAATACCTAACCTCCTATCATATATTATTGTAAGTGATTATGTCATATTCACAGTTTATACATGGTCAAGTTCATACATAACACTACGGTGTCATCACCTGATATTTTGCCACATAATTTATTCATCCATTACTGTTTAGGCTTCAAAAAACGACATGACATATCATGAATATATATAGATGCTGTTAGCTGAGGTTTGCTTAAAAAAATACAAGAAGGTCATATGCAAGTTGATATGAACATACATTCACTTAAGTGATGACACATTGTCTCACCAACGCGTGATTGAAAGTAGACTTACACTGTGCTCATATGCTCACTATAATGCCAACGGTTACAATGCCAATGGTTTCCATTGTGTTACAAAGACAATGAAAAGTCCTATCACTATCTTTGTGAATGGTAGTTACTATTCCTGGTTTAATGTTCAACATTATGGTAGAGAAATGACTGGTTTGCAGGCGGCCTTCAGCAGTATACTCCAGTGTGGTAACACTATAATGTCTGCTTCAGTTCTGCACTATTACAAGGAGGCTTACACAGCTTCCTAAAAATGTGTACACTCCATACATAATGACTCATCTTACATAACAGTCTGTTAACAATATAAACCAACCAAAACCTATTCTTACTGTATAGAAGTACCTACAGGTATTTGTCCTGTTGAGGTCCTACTGCCTTCCAAACTTATTATTATTCATAATGAAATATCATTCAACAAGTGGTTAAGTATTAACTGTTTAACAGTTATGGAAATAGAAGTTTTCAATTGTCACTAGATATTATAACTGTCAATTAATGTAAAGTAATGAAGTGACTACAGCAAATACTACAGAAATAATATCATAAACTATATCATCTTGAACTGTTTCCTGTTATCTCAATTAATCTGGAAGTGGAATTAAAATTAAATGAAGAGCAATTGAAAAAATACCCTTAGATAGTTAACACTTGTCTTTGAAAAAGAATCTGTTGTACCCCCTGTGGAGCCTCGGTATGTAAACATTGATCCATTAACTACAGAAGAGGTCAGAAATAGTATTGCATTTTTGTTGCATCAAAGCTGCCTAATTTAATGGCTGAATAGGGGGGTGAATGGGGGACTTCAAAGACGTTTAGGGGACAAAAGATCAAAGTATCGGATTTCTGCGGGCAGTGAGTACAGTTCTATTGACCCTCCCTAACAC